CATGTGCTCACACTGCACGTCTGGTAGCAACACGTCGGACCTAAAAATATGCTAAAGATAGCAGTTTTTACTCAACACATCAGACTTTTTTGTTTTGCCTGTTGTCCTTCGGGAGTGCTGCAGGAGGACACACAGGGATTTATGGGGTTGGATGAGGAAAACGAAATAAAGAAAGTGAATCTGTGTTTTGTGATCAGTTTAATTTGACACGAACACGACAAACACGCTTTCTTGACAATCTTTGTGAGTAAAAAAAACGTGTAGAAACAAAAATGAACAGCGTGTGTTATTAGGGAAATAGCGGGCGAGCGGTGTAGATGCATGATTGCGCATGCGCCGTGAGCGGTTCTGATACTTTTTGGGTCGCAGCTGCTCGCAGCGCCGCTTCAACAGTGCGATACCCTCACGAGGGGCGAGCAAAATATCAAACACGCCAGAAGTCCGTGAGAGCTCACGACTGCTGATCGGCAGCTGGTCACGTGGTGTTAATCGCCTCTCGTAACCCCCTGTACACTACACAACGCTCAGCACAAAACTCGCCCCAATCTCGTGGATTCTCGCACGAGTGGAAAATCGGCTCAAAAAAGTGAAAAAGTCGTACAGTGTACGCCCGGCTTAACAGAGCCAGCAGTGATAAAAGGATTTTAGCAGATGGGAATTAATTCCAAAGGACCTCAGCTTCCTCAGCAGGTAAAGGTGGCTTTGGCCCTTCTCATACAGAGTATCTGTGGTGTTGGGCTACATCAGCTTACTGTTGAGGTAACCACCAAGGCACTTAAAGGCATCCACCACCTCAATGCCAGCTGTCTGAATGTTTACAGGTGAGTGAGAAGGAGTGTTTTCCCGGAAGTGAATCACCATTCCCTTTATTCTACTGGTGTTCAAGCAAAGGTGGTAACGCTCACACCAGTCCACAAAGTCCATGATGACTGACCTGTACTCCAGGTCATTGCCCTCAGACCCACAGCCCACATTGGCTGAGTCATCAGAAAATGTCTGAAAGTGACAGCTGCAGGTGTTGTACGTGAAGTTCAAGGTGTAGAAAGTGAAGAAAAAGTGTTAGAGCACCGTACCCTGTGGAGCTCCAGTACTGCATACAACCACCTCAGATGTACTGTTGTGCAGCCTCATGTACTGTGGCCTGTTGGTGAGGTAGTTGATGGTCCATGCAGTCAGACGTTTGTCCATTCCTGCCCCTCTCATCTTCTGCTGCAGTAGATATGGCTGGATGTTGTGGAAGGTACTTGAGATGTTGAAAAACATGATTCTCAAAGTGTTTTTTTTTTTTTTTTTTTTTGCATTTCAAAGAGTCGGTGGCCGGCGCTGCAGGTAGATGAGGACGTCCTCCAACCTCATGTTTAGTTTATTTGCAAATTGCAGTGGGCTTACCACTGACCGTAGATGGGTGAGGAGGATGAGCCTCTCCATAGTCTTCATCAGATGGGAGGTCAGGACGACTGGTCTGTAGTGGTCTGGTTCTTGGGGATGTGATGTTTTAGGAACTGGAACTACACAGGAGGTCTTCTACAGCTGTGGAACTGGGAAAACAGGCTCATTGGGCTGCATGGTGGCGCAGTGGTTAGCACTGTTGCCTCGCAGCACGAAGGTTGCAGGTTCAAAACTTGGCTCGGCTGCGGCCTTTCTGTGTGGAGTTGCGTGTTCTCCCCATGCATGCGTGGGTTTCCTCCGGGTACTCCGGTTTCCCCCACAGATCACAACATGCCTTATAGGTTATAAATTGTAAGTCGCTTTGGATAAAAGCGTCTCCTAAATGAATAAACATAAACATAAACATTGGCCCAAGTTTGGTCCTCTTCAGCAGACAATGGCAACACTCCTCCCACTGTGTCCATTAATGTATCTGAGGCCTCTCCATGCACCACAAGCATTGTTCTGCCCTAGCTGTTTCTCCAGTTTCTTCCTGAAGCTGTCTTTAGCTCCTTCTGGACTCGTCTACCCTCCTCTTTTTATCAGTCATAAAAGTGTTTTTCTTATAATTCAGCAGGGATTTCAGCTCAGGAGTCAGCCAGGGTTTATTATTGAAGAAACACCTCACTCTTTGTGCTGGGACAGTGTACTCTACATAGAAGTTCACATAATCAGTGGCACAGTGGGTCAGGCTGTCAAGGTCATCACCATGAGTGCTGTAGAGTGTCTCCCAGTCTGTGGTTTGGAAACAGTCCATCAGCCTCTCTGTGGCTCACTCAGACCATGCTTTCACAAATAGCTTGTGAGAGGGTTCCCTAATAAGCCTGGGTGGGTTTTCTGGGATCAGATGAATGAGACTGTAGTGACCAAGTGGGAGGTACCTTGTAGCCTGGCCTTAGTCATAAATTTCCCAGAATACAGCATGGTATTTTCAAAAAGGATGGCGGATCAGAAGCCGGCAGCTACTTTGGGGGGAAAATTCAAGTTTAAATGTAAGTCAGCTAATTGTTGCTATCGGGCTGACATCTAAAATGTTTATTATATATATATATATATATATATATATATATATATATATAAAGAAGTCATCTTTAGTTGGTTGGTTACTGAGTAGTTGCAGTTTCGGTTGCTAGCAGGTACTAACTCACTTACATATTTATTTTAACCAATATATACACATTTTAAAAAGTAAAAGGCTCGATATATATTTATAATAAAACAATAGCATATAAAATACAATGTTACCTCCCTTGTCATGTGATGTAAGTCTGTTTCATTTAACCATTTTCTTTGATCATGGAAGGGCAGTGTCCTCGTAAGCAAGACACCTGGCCTAGCAAGACATCGCCTTGCGAGGCCAGGTGTCTTGATCTTGAGAAACACCCCCTGCCTTTGTGTTTACGGCTCTGCTCCGCATTCCTGTCAGCCCCCAGAGTCAGTTGTGAGCTCTTTCATCCATCTTTCCATAGAAATCATCACACTACACTGTCTGCAGTCCCACTGTAGCCTGGTCATTACGGTGAGCTCATCAATTGGGGCAGCAGTAGCTCAGGTGGTAGAGCGGGTTGCCTCATGATCGGAGGGTCATGGGCTCGATTCCAGCTCCCGCCAGGGGTATCCTGCTGTTGTGTCCTTGGGCAAGACACTTCACCCAACTTGCCTGTGTTAGTGGTGGTCAGAGGGGCCGACGGCGCCAAATGGCAGCCTCGCCTTTGTCAGACCTCCCCAGGGCGGCTGTGGCTACAAGTAGCTTACCATCACTAGCAGTGTGTGAATGTGAGAGTGTGTGAAATCGTCTTTGGGTGTCTAGAAAAGCGCTATATAAGTTCAGTGCATTATTATTATTATTATTATTATTATTATTATTATTATTATTATTATTATTATTATTATTATTATTATTATTATTATTATCAATCTTATTTAACAGAAAACAGACATTTCCCATAATCAAGGAGGGTAAATATGGTTTATATCTCCATTTCCTCTCCTGGACCTAACTTCCCACTCTGCAGCCTTTTCGTTTCCTTTTTAATTTTGGGTGCAAAACCTGCTGTTCTGTGGAGAAGAGCACCGGGTGTCCCCCCGTGCCAACAGCTGATCCCTGGTGTAAACAATAGTCCATGGATGGAGCTGGAGGAATTTCTCATTTTTGAGGAATAAGAGATATCCTCAAACAGCTCAATAGGAAGAGAAGAGTGAGTACAAACACATGCACACACACACATTCTCATCTTTCATCCGTTGTGGGGACTATCACTGAATGACTTCATTTTATGGACTCAATATGCCTGAACCTAACCCTAACCCCCACTATTACCAGTCTATTGGTAACCCTATCTAAAACTTAAATCACACCATACCTCTAAAACTAACAAGTAGAGATCTTTAACAGTGTACCAAAGTGAGGATCAGGCAAAATGTCCTCATTTAATAGGTGGTTGTCATCGGTGCTCAGTTTGATGAATAGACAAGTACACACACACACACACACACACACACACACGTACACGCACACGCGCACACACACACACACACACACACACACACAGAGGGGTGGGGTGGGGGGTGGAGGAGTGCAAGCAATGCTCTAATGATTGGGACATTTTCAAAAAAAGCAGTATGAATGGCTGTAAATGTGCTAAAATGCTGACAGAGAAGTGCGACATCATATGAGAATAATGGTCCAAGCCAAACAATACAGTTCACTGTTATAAAAGACATCAGCATGCCATGAAAAAAATGTGGTAACACAATACTGGAGTCTGATGAATTCTGATACAGTCACCAATGCAATCACTTCACATGTTAAGAGTAACAACAAAAAAACAATGTACTGCTTTGTATTGAGTTCAAACCACACAGCTAGTAAAATCATTTACATTATTCCTAATCAGGTTGCTGTGTGTTGAATTTAGATGTTAATTCCTCCCGTTGCACCCTTGTAATTTCCCCTGTAGCTGGTTGTTTTTTATTACAATTTGCAGCTTGGACCTTTTATTTGTAAACCCAGTTGAATATAATAGGATGCATGTAATGTTCTGATGTGGTGCACACTCGTGCATGCCTACTGGCCATGCAGCCTTTGTTTCCTCTAATAACAAAGTGGCCGTTATAGAGAAACAAGAGACATCTTCAAACAGCTCAATGGGAAGAGAAGAGGGAGTACACACACACACACACACACACACACACACACACACACACACACACACACACACACACACACACACACACACACACACACACACACACACATTCTCATCTTTCATTCGTTGTAAGGACCAACAGCTTTTAGCTTTGCTTCTAGGATCAACATTAAAAGCAGGAGAGTGAGTCTGTAGCGCTAAATGACATCACTTCAGGCTTCATTCAGATGCAAGGAGGACTTGGTAACCTCTGCCAAAAAGACTTGGGTCTACTGAGAAGCAGATGATTCCACAGTGTCCACAGATTCATCATACATTGTTTACAAATGGAAGTTTGATTTCTGATTCCACAAAGAGCGACAGTATCTCCATCAGCATCAAAACACGTTCATGGTTTTTTTACCCGAAGTCACCGAGACTCACCGTAACACCGTTGAAATTTGTCTCATTCATAACATCCAGGACCAGTTTTCCCACTTCTCGGTCATCCACGGTGAAGTTATGGTAGCTATTTTGTCTTTCTTTAATCCGGAGCAGCTCCATCACTCGAGTCAAGGTTTTAGCAATAACCCAGATCCCATCGTAGGCAAAGCCGTGAAACTTGCTTGCCTCTACGCCTTTCTGCCGACGCTCTCTCTCGTACTCCTCCTCGTACTCACTGGGGGTCTGAAAAAAATATGAATAACAGTGAGAAATTGTTTATCCTCTGATGTTTTTGCCAGTTTTTTTTTTTTTTTTTTCAAAAAAATAAACCTGACCCTAGGTAAGACTTTTGTTTTTTACTTTTTTAACAGATCAACCACTACATTTCGGGAATATCTTCACATGTGCATAATCAAAAACACTTTTTGGGATGCAAACAGTGCAACATAAACTATTTAGAAAATGAAAAGTGCAAAAATAGCAAATAATGACAAAATATTATGTGTGAAAAAACAAAAATTTTATGAGAAATGAAAACTTGCTAAGAAATTTGATTAACTTGCTTTAAGTTAAAAAAGTATAAGAAAAAAATAACCTATTTTAAGATAATTTGTCAACTCCATTTCTAATAAAAAGACAAACACATGTATCAACTACCTAAACAATGAGGTATGATCTGATAATTGTTTGCAATCATGCAGCAAAAAAAAAAATTTAAATAAAAAAAGCATATGTGACTGAATTTTGAAAGCTTTGTATGTTTTGCAGACCATTAAAAAAATCACTTTGTGCCTTTTTGTTTTACTCACCCTGCCCGAGATGCCCTTGACCGGCCGTGAGCTGAGAGGCTCAAAGTCCACGCTGATGTATCCCTCCATGGCTGTGAGAAGCTTCCTGACAGTACAGTTGGTGGTGTTGGCCTGCTCCCACCACTTATGCTGGTACCAGCCTGGGATGATCCACTGGTATTTACTACCAAACATGTTCAAGTTAAATGCCTGGATTAAAAAAATAAAAACAAACAGGAGCAGTTAAACAGCGCACAAGCAGGGGAAGCATAAGAATGAGTTGTTCCCTTAGAAATGATGATAGTTTTGCACTTTCTGTTGATTTGTTTTTTTTTAATTAATTTCAAGCATATTCACATTTCCACATAACGCATTTACATTTTAAAAAGGTGTAGGGAGAAAAGTGTGCCCTCCATTTATACAGATCTTGTTTTGAACCTTATCTTTCATTTAAGGAAAAAAAACATTTTAACATGAAATTTGAGTTAATCCTTTTTTATCTTCCTACTGCACATAAATAATATTAATAATGATTTATTTACAGGCCAGAAATTACTATGACAACCAGCATCAGTTAATCTGATCTCCAAAAGCTACTGACATGTTTTGCAAATCTATTGAGGGCAGTCCCATAAATATGTTAAAGACCAAGTTCACTCATTTTTTTCAACACATCTGCAGTTGTCTCTCGTACAAATGAAAGCCTTGTGATTGTATCTTTGTGGGGGTAAAAACTCTGGTGCTTTTGTTTCAGTAAGTAGAAGTTAACCAGAGCAAAGGGGAGCTTCAGATGGCAGGATTTGGAGTCTTATATCCTGATAAGACATCTCATCTCTGATTGGCTAACAGCAACTCGACTCTATCACTGACTCTGTTCTCCCTTAAATGTTAATGTTTTATCTCCACAAATAATGCAGTCTTGAAGTAGTTTGGCTGTGTGGTTGAGTTGCTAATGCTAATGGTTGACTTCTGCTAGCCGAGACTTGTTCTGCTTTCCCCTGGATGCCAAATCAACAACAGCCTTCTATGTTGTGAGCCAAGATGGGTGAGTCCATGAATGTCAATTTTCAGTGTGTCATAGATATGACTGATTTTTTTTAATCCAAACGTTTCTTTGTCTATTTTCAATCGGTGGCTAATGCACCTGATAACCTTTGCAATAATGCCTATCTGTGCCAACTTCTCCAAGTCAAAGTAAGATAAGTTAGAATTTGACTTTTCCTTAGTAGGCTATCCCATGAGTTTGTCTGAAATGAGCAAAAACTCACATTGCATGTCATGACCAATGACAGAGTAGAACAATTCGACGCAGCCATGAGTAACAGATGTCCCCGCCCCCGACCTGTGGATGCTTCCAGTCTAAGCCTTTAGTCCTGCCCTTCCATGTATACAAATTGAACAATGAACCTGTGTTGAATCCTGTTGAGCCAGAGAATCATCTGTAGATGAAATTTCTATTGTTTTTTAGTTCTCATTTCATTTGGTTATCTTGACAGTTGCACAGGTAACTAACTGTAAGCAGTAAGCTACCAGCCTGCACAGCAATGGCTAGATGCACAAGCGATTTTACCCCAATTAGAACATTAGAGGTTTGATTCAGAGCTGTATGAAAGTGTTCTTGGGAAACACTACAACCCCCCAAAGTTCTTCACAACACAATCAGTCATCCACCCGTTCACACACACATTCACACACTGGTGTTGATGAGCTACTATGTAGCCACAGCTGCCCTGGGGCGCACTGACGGGAGTGAGACTGGTGATCACTGGTGCCACCAGTCCCTCCAACCACCACCAGCAGACAAGGCGGGTCAAGTCTCTTGCCCAAGGACACAACAGCAGCATTCTCTGGCAGAAGTTGGGAGTGAACCTGCAACCTTCTGATTATAGGACAACCCGTTCTACCTCCTGAGCTACTGCTGTCCTCATATATAGCCTGAACTCCCAAGGTTTTCTGACCCCTCAGCACTACTAAAGTTAAGTCAATTAGCTTCTTGGTTTTAAAAAATAACTCAGTCAGTTTTGAAAATCAGTTTTAGTGTTTTAGCAGTTCAGAAAACCTGTAAAGTGCCACATCTACAAAACAAAGACCATCATTTACAAGTGTTTAGGATACAAAATAAAAACTACCTGGTCAAGTGGCTGCCCTCTGGGAGAGATAGGGTTAGATATGTACGATTTAAAATGTGGATGACTCACACAGCAGAAGACTTTGGAGGCCAAGTTCTCGTCAAACTGACCAATGATGATCCTCACATCATTGTCCTAAAGGGGGAAAAAAAAAGAGAATTTATGCTTTCTTTGTTGCTGCTGAACATACTGTTAATAGACTCCAATTTCAGGTGTTTTTTCTTCATTGTTAAGCTGTAATTCAGATATTTGTGACACCATTACCACATGAATGGTTAACAGAGTGAAGCGTAAATCTTTTTCCACATATTTGATGGCTCAGAATGGGACACCAGTTGTAAAAGAAAAAAAAAGAGAAGCAATATCAAATTGCAAAGTCCATTAATAACAGCGAGCGTGTTAGAGGACAGATTTGTGTGCTCCAACCGGGCTAGAGTGCTATAATTTGCTCAGGGATTTGGAGCACAACACGGCATGGCGACTGGCTCGGTGAATAATTCAGATGCCCTGCACAGAAACTCAACATGTTTTAGGAAGGAAAAACGAAAACAAAAGAAGAACGGTCAAGCTTGGCCTTTTAGTTTAGCAGCAAATGGAGCACGGATCAGATTATGTGCTCTCAAATGTGCACACAAGGAGTTGATTAGAAAAAAGCTAAATGCATGTATAAAAAGAAATCCAAAGTTTCAGAACTGGATTGAGTAATTCTGACATGGATTTGATGAATGCATGTATCTGCAAGGCCAGATGTGATGGGGTGAGCTGACAGAGGCTCTGATTCAATCCGGACTGACAGTGATCAGATCAAAGTTGGTTTTCACGGAGTTACAGAAATGGCAACGGCCACCCCTTTATGTGGCTAAACATTCAACGGAATGGAAAAACAACCACATTAGTCAACAAGTGCCTGGGTCAAAATAAAAAGAGAGATTTCTATCTCAATAGAATTCTTTTTAGCGTGTAGTTTAGCTCTCAGATGTTTATTTTTTAGTAACCTTTAAATGCTGACCAAAATCTTAACTTCCAAGAAAATCAGCTTCAAAACAAACCACCAAATCACTTTAAAATCACAATCATTGCCTCCTTTCAACAGGAAAAAGGCTAAAATAATCAAAATTAATGAGACTCCAAACGGGACAAGTGTTAGGAACCATTAAGACGGGCATAAAAATAATGCAGAATGACACAAGCAGGCGTGTTTGTAAACATTATGGAAAATAAGCAATGTCTAATGAAAACATGAATGTCTGGATTTTAAATGTTTGTTATGATTTGTCTGAAATTAAAAACTTTTTGTTGATTAAAGCCAGAAATGCAATCCGTAGAGTTTTCCCAAGCCCATATTTATTTATTTATGCATTAATTAATTAATTTCTTCATTATTTTATTTTTATGTTCGGTGTTATGTGCATTTCTGTTCCCCCATCCACACTGAGAGCAAAATGAAATGCCCCACTGAGTTACGGTAAATCTGTGCATATTATTTTTATTTAAACCACCAGAACAGATTATGAGAAATGTTTCCAAATTCAACCAAATGGATTCTTATGAACACCGCTTTCTTTTTCTCTTATTTTGACATGTGGCCTTTGGCAGGCTTGATAACTAACTTGAAAAAGAAAGAAAAATTAATATTTGAAATGCACAAAAAATGTAAAACTGTGATAAAATTACAGAAAACATAATTAATTTAAAAAAAACAAAGAAGTGTTGACACCAGCAGAAAATTCATACAACCTGTGGTATCCTGCTGATTTTCTGGATAATGAGGCAGTAGTTCACCATATGTCAGGCATCCCCAGATCAGAGGGGCAAACTAATCACTGTCATCTTAATTCCAACAGCGATTTAGAGTCGGAGCGAATGCTGAAGCACTGGAGCAAAAAAATTTGCTCTGGCATCCATGCACACACACGGGAATGCCCAAGAAGAGACGACAACTCATTTATTTATTTCTTCTCAAATCTTCTTTTGTGTTATTTTCTGTTTAAGTGAAAATGTATGTGTGTGTGTGAGAGAGAGAGAGAAAGAGAGAGTGAGCTAGACATGCCAGTGGCAACAATAATACATTTCTTCCCTGAAGGAAAGGCACTTAACCCAAGTGGCTCTAGCTATGGCTGAGGGTCGTCGGCTCAGTTAAAGTTCTAGCTTGCCCGGCAACAAAATGAAAAGACTGTATAGTTGAAGGCAAGGGCAACGAGCGAGCATGTTGTGTTAGCGTTACAGATAGACCGGGGCACTAAACAGCCCCAAATTACCCTCATTGCTCAAGCTTTTATGTAACTGTAACAATTACTGCTCTCAAAGAGGGCAGCACTGAGGGCAGCCTCAGCTGCCTTATCCACAGTGCAGTGATTTGTTACTTTATAATTGTTATTAATATGTGATAGTAAATGGAGTAATAATATAACACATAATCCCTATGAGGCACCATTAAGGCTTATTAAACAAACACTAACTAGCAACTCAATAACAAAGGTTTTTATTTATTTATTTATTTTTAGACTGGTGAAATTTAGATTCATCACCAACAGGTTTGCTGCTGAGTGGTGTGCAGACAGAAGTGTCTTCAGTAACATACAGCGGTGAACAAAAACCAAAAAAGAGAGAAGGAATTGATTCCTCATACTGGGTGGTCAGTGCATTCAGTCCGAGGCTCTTTCTGCAGCTTTGTGCTATTTGGGGATTTGAAACAGCAGAGGTACTTTAGTGGGTTTATTGGTATCAATAAAGTACTTTCATGAAATAGGCAAACTTCTAATGGTGTTATATGAGCAAGACGTTTATCTTGAGCTGATTCCATGCAAACCTCAAGATGTTTATTTCTAAACAGGGTTTTTTATTGTTGGGTTGTGAGTTCATATCATGCATGGACATGCATGGCCCCTTTGACACAAAGAAAGTTGTGTTTTTGCTATACAGGTTCCAGGAAATTTCTAGAAGGGGGAAGATGACAGGGAAAATAAGATGGCTCTGTCTTTTCAGCCGTACTGCCTCCAAACTAAATCGCCCCTTTCAGGACTTTGCTAAGACATCAGCACAATGCAAACATTTTAGGAGTGAGTGACGTGACTGATCAGTCACAAAAGGCATCCGTTTTCTTCTGCTTATTTGCAGTCGGGTCGCGGGGGCTGCAGTCGTAGTGGAGAAGCCCAGACTTACCTCTCCCCAGCCACTTGGGCCAGCTCTTCCGAGGCAATCCCGAGGTGTTCCCTGGCCAGGTGAGAGACATGCTCCCTCCAACTTGTCCTGGGTCTCCCTTTAGGCCTCCTCCCAGTTTGACGTGCTCTGAAAACCTCACCAGGGAGGCGTCAATGAGGCATCCTAATCAGATGCCTGAGCTACCTCAACTGGCTCCTCTCGACATAAATTACATCATAAATGTTATTTTGTCAAAGTTGCAGAATTTTTTTCTATTTGGGGGACCAGGAGAATCTGTAAAATGTAGCAAATGTTTTTACAATGAATATTTTCACTTTACACACACACACACACACACACACACACACACACACACACACACACACACACACACACACACACACACACATTAATGTATGTATGTAAAGTGAGAGAGTGCATTCTGACCACAGGTGAAATGTTTCTACTTTAAGTGAAATTGTTTAATTGCATTGTTTATATGTTACTGGGCCACTCTAAATGTTAATTAATAAATGAAATCAAATGTAAATGTAATGGTATCAAATGGTTTATTTATTATTTTAAAATTAAACAAGATGGGAATAAATTTGATTGTGACCATTTAATTTTTTTGTTTGTTTATTTTTTACCCTTTTGGCCAAAATGATGGACGACAAAAATGTCTAGCTCGACCTCTGACTATCACATTTACAGATTTATTTTAAAAAGTCCTACATAATTCCTGAATGGAGGATTGCTGCTTCAATTAAACAATCTTGTGATTAATTTACCATTATTTGTTTTGAACAAAGCCCTTATTTTGAAGTGCTACTGTTGGGGTTCGTGGTTCATCTCAAATGAGAGCCCATCACTGTTATAATCAGTGCTTTTTAATCCTCTTGTTCAGGGGCCCACACAGAGTGAACAAGAGATAAACGGGGTAAAAAATAAAAGAAGACATAGAAACATGGAGAGAACTGATACTTTGCCCTGCAGCAGTGATGCCTGCCTGCATTTTGAATATTTCAGCTGGAATATTACAGATGTGTTGCAGCGTGTCAAAGTCTCACACCCATTTGCTTCAAACGTTCTGAAGAGATTTCCCAGCACTCTGATTTGCATAGAGTTACTTCAAGTAGAGTGATGTCAGATTAAAATGTCGAGCGTTAACATGCAGATTACATACGTACATATTTTCAGAATGGCAGCTCAACTTCCTGTTTCTTCTGTCCTACTTTTTTCTCAGTATAATTCTGTTGGCTTCACACAGAAATCATGTGTTCTCTACGTAAAACATATGAAGAGAGAAGAGTATTATATTGTTCTAGTGTAATTTTAGATAATATAGCATCTTCCACTCTGACACAAAAGGATTCACAACGTTGTAAACCAGCAAAAGTTATTGAGGAATGAAAACTTGGGCGTTAGCCTGACTTAGTTACAGCTGGAAGGGGGGATCAATGAGCCACGTTGGAAGGAAATTGAAGGGTCCTATCACTGTCCAACTGTGCAGAGACGGTTTGATTCCGCCCCACAACCAAGACTGAAGTCATCCAAAAACTTTGCTGCTGGTGTAAAGGAAGTCGTCCAATATAACGGCGGCCAATTGCAGCATAGTTTGTTTCACAGCCATTTTGCAACACTTTCATGTCCAGCGGTGCTTCTCTGGAGCAAAAAGGAGGCAAGTTGCTAGCACTGGTGGCTTATCTACTACCTGCCAATCAAATGGACATACCCAAAGTATTCAAAATTTCATTAATTGCATCTAAATAGATGAGTTACAAAAATGTTTACTCAGAGTTGTCATGACTGTAAACTTGACCTATGAGCAGGATGAGGAGGGAACTGCAATTTTTGCCATTTTGAAGTTCGCTTCACTTTTGGAAGGTGGCGTTACCCCTTGGAAAATGCTGCAGAGAAGAACTGTAGCCAAATGTGCACTCCCGTTCTAACAGCTTTTTTACTATTATTTACCAAATTATTCACCTAATTATTATTATTATTATTATTATTATTATTATTTAGGAGATGAGTGAGGGAAAGCTAGAGTGTGAGATCGATAGGCGGATTGTTGCTGCATCTGCAGTGATGCGGGTGTTGTACCGGTCTGTCGTGGTGAAACGAGAGCTGAGCCAGAAAGCGAAGCTCTCGATTTACCGGTTGATCTACGTTCCTACCCTCACCTATGGTCATGAGCTTTGGGTAGTGACCGAAAGAACAAGATCGTGGATACATGTGGCCGAAATGAGTTTTCTCCGCAGAGTGGCTGGGCTCTCCCTTAGAGATAGGGTGAGAAGTTCGGTCATCCAGGAGGGGCTCAGAGAAGACTCGCTGCTCCTCCACATCGAGGGAATCCAGTTGAGGTGGCTCAGGCATCTGATTAGGATGCCTCCCTGGTGAGTTTTTCCAGGCACATCCAACCGGTAGGAGATCTAAAGGGAGACCCACACATTGGGCACATTGGAGGGAGCTGGCCCAAGTGGCTGGGGAGAGGGAAGTCTGACCCTCTCGACTTAGGCTAATGCCCCCGCGACCCGACTCCCGATAAGCGGATAAAAATGGAATGGAAATGGAATATTTAGGAGTGCCTTTAATTCAACTAACAGAACAAAATGTTTCAGAAGGGTAGCGTTGGAAAAGAAGAGGTCGATGACAGTCAGTAGGGAAGACCATAGGACAAACGGGAATCTGGCAGGTGATTGTGGAAAGGGCCAGGGACAGTAGACCAAGATGGGATTTTCCTAGAAAGGTTTCTCACTTCCCGCCCAGGTTCTCAAAAAAAATCTCCTTGCCATTGAGCTTCTGACCAGCAGAGCAGGCTGCCCCTGTTGCACGACTCTAAGCGGAACCAGAAAGACATGCCGCCGCACAACAGCAGAGATCCAAACTTCTGAGCACCTGAACTTGGCCAGAACCGTAAGGGGGCATGTCTTACCATAGGCTGCAGAAGATGATGCATAACAATACATAACATGCTAGTTTACTATGATCTTTAGACACCCAGGGAATATGCATGTGCTTACCTTTAACTTTTTGACATTGACACAGGGATCGTTTGAGAAGCTTTCTGTATCTGCAATCTGAATGTCTCCTTTATCCAGCTCACTGGTCAGATCATTCCTCACCTGAGAAACAAAGAAAAACACCAAAGAAAAAAGATTACTTGTCAGTTTTGGAACGCATCAGAAATGATGATATCAGTCCCACTCCTCAGTTTGTAGATTGAAAATAACAAATCGGAAGTTACGAATCTATCATCAGATTTTTTAGGACATAGGCAAACCTCAGAGATGAATCCTAAAGTAGAGCTTTTTAAGTTGATCTTTTTTGTAGTTTGCATGTGGACTTTCAACTGGAGACATTTTTTACAACTTATTGTATTACCCACTAGAGCAACAGGCAGGTTTCACTAAACATGAAAAAAGAATACTTTGTGGAAAATGTTGGACTTGTGAAACAGGACGCTCCCTGATCTTGTTTATGTATTGATATCAGTAGCACCCATATGAAAAGCACTGATGTTGAGCAGCATCCAGGAAAGAAGAAAAGCTCCTTTGGTACGTTCTTGCTGTGTCTGATTTCTAATTCCATTTTTGGTTCTTTTTTGAAACACAGAACAGGTTTATTTCTACCTGGCTTGCTCACAGTTTCGTTCGCGGCTGCAAACTTCCTCAGAGCTTACGATGATGGTGGCATCACTTCCGACTCCGTTTATCCGCGGGCAGCAGAGGACGTTGTCGCCCTCTGCTGCCCGCTCTCCCTTCTCCGATGATGGATGGATAAAGGAGGTGTGGATGCGGGACCATGAACAGAGACGATGGGTTCTACCCATTGGATCGTGCATGGGACTGACTCATCGGGATTAACGGAGTAGGAAGTGACACCACCATCAGCGTAAGCTCTGAGGAAGTTTGCAGCCACGAACAAAACCGTGAGCAAGCCAGGTAAAAAGAAACCTTTTCTGTGTTTTACAAAAGAACCAAAAATGGAAAGAGAAAAGCTCGTCAGCATGCAATCCTGGCTGCAGTGGAGGCTCCAAAGAACTGTAATTACACATGGCTTCCCTCAAAAAAGAAGCTAGCTTATAAAAAAACAACCTAGATCAAGTGTTCCAAACTCCCTTTAAACCTGTGTTTAGGAACAAGTTTGAAAGTTCGAAAAATCCTAGGTAAATGGTATTATGTGTGGTGTAGGGTTAGAATTTGGAGCGTTGCTGATTCAAATTCAAGACCTTCTGTGTGGAGTTAGCATGTTCTTTCCATGCCAGCATGGACGTTCTTTGGGTACTCCAGCTTCTTCCCACAGACTAATGCATGTCAGGTTGATTGGAGACTCTAAAATGTCCTTTAGGTGTGTGTGAGGGTATAACTGGTTTTGTGTCTATGTGATGGACTAGTGACATGTCCAGGGTGTCCCCTACCTCTGGCCAGATGGCTGCTGGAGACAGACACATGCGTGGCCATGACGCTGATAAGGATGAAACAGTTGGATGACGGATGGACAGATGAATTGACGCATGGATGGACGGTGATATTTTTAGCAATCAAATGCACTAAAAAATAAAACAAATCTAACTTGACTCAAAGCTTTATGTAAAATGAAAGGTTATTAATATTATTTTTGTTATTGTTGCTTCATGAAACAAGACAAGATCTAAAACCATGCTTTGAATGATCTTTGTTGAACTTCTTGGCTGGTTTCTTTAGCAGCCGTATATCTGCTTTGATTTATTGTTTCAGTGGAATGGAAAGTAATATGATCAGAGAACAAGAAGAATAGAGCCGGGGTCCCACAGGGAAGGTATGCCTGAGGTGCTTTATCATCCATTTCTCCTCACAAACATACTCTGCACCATGATTAGCACCTTTGATTTCTTTCAGCACAATTCTCTCTTGTCATAATAAAAAACCTTGAGTATAAGTAATATTAATGCTGGTGCGAGCTAATGAATGATCATTATATGTCAGCATTGACACAGATCAGCCGGTTTATTCATGCAATTTCTACATAAGATGGAGTTAACCTTGTTGTCATGTGAAAGTCTCTAATTTTTCTTGGATCTTTTTGATTGCCTCTGGGCTATGCCCTGCAGACATCATCAGTGTCTGTGCTCCCACACAGGAGCCTGGCACCCGGGATGAGCTCAAACATCAGAGGGTATTTGTTCTCTAATGTGTGCGCCAAATGTGGTTGGTGATGACAACACAGTGCAGCTAACAGATGAAGGTCTTCTGTGTTTGTCCAATGTTTAGTCTTAGTGCACAATTACACGTGTGTATTGCTTCGGCTACATGTAACTTACTTATTAATGACCACCTCACACATTCTTCATCGAAGCAGAAGCTCGGTTTTTACATTAATGATTAGACAAATGAGGTGAGGCCCTAAAATGACAGCGATAACAACGAAGCAATCAGCAGTTCAAAGAAAAAAATGTAATTGTAATTTACAAAATCTATTTTATGGTTTGAGCTGTGTAAGTAATCAAATTTCAATAGTTAGTCAAATTCAAGCTTTAAAAAAATCACAAAAACAAAGCAATTAAAAAAAGTATTCACATGATTTTATCACGTACTGCTTTGCAAGCATGAGTGACTCACACTTTAATATCTCCCAAAGGCTAAACTTGCATACATATTTGAGGTGAGTATAAAAGTTAACTCAACTAAAAATAGCAAACCAAACTGAAAACATACTTGGTTACTTTTTGGTGCAATAATTGCTGTCAAAGATCCCATAAAAAGTGGTCTTTTTGTTGTTAAATGAGATTGTCACAGCCTTGTGATCAATGAGGGAGTAACCTCTGTTGTGTTTCCCACGTGTCTCTGGATGTCTGCTATCATAATCGCCTCCACTTCTGGTGCCCTAGAGAGTGCTTTAAATCACTCTGAACATCACTCACTCTTGTACCGACATTTCCTCCACTGCATTGCTCGCTGAGCTGAAACAACAGGAAGGCCAGAGTGGATCAATAAAGCCTGGTTTTGCTCTTGAAAGACACTTGGTTTGGTGGTATAGACAAGGTAAAATGTCCCATTGTGTTGTTTGGAGCATTGATCTAAAATGCCTCACCGAAATATATATATATATATATATATATATATATATAAATGGTTTTTTGAACACATGGGTCAGAGAGTGGCTCAGGTATTCGGTTAGGATGTAGGAACCCTGGTGAGGAAGGAGGAAGCCTGACGGATGACCAAGGGTACACTGGAGGGATCATGTGTCTCAACTAGCCAGGGAATGCTTTGGGATTCCCCAGGAGGAGCTGGACCATGTGTGGGGAGACGGAAGTCTGGCCCTCTTTGCATAAGTTGCTACCCCCATGACCCAACCCCAGATAAGCGGAAGGGAATGGATGGATGGATCAGACTTTGACTTAAAAGTTCATTAAATCTTATGTACAATAAAAAAAAAGCCTCAAATAAATCCATAACGGTCATCTAAAACTTGCCGTTAACGTATTTCTTCTTAATTACAGTCATTACCTCCTATTTCCTCATGCAGTTTAATACATGTTCCAGTGTGCCTGGCCGCTGCGTTCTTGCCAAATCTTTCTTTCATTCAGTGTACTGTTTGCTGTGGTATAAATCACCATGCTAATCCCACCGTTCAGACCATAATGGAAGGCCAGTGCTTACAGAAAAGTAGCATGACAAATGAGCACTCACATTTGCTTCCTCTCATGGTCTTACATCTCCTGCACAATGGCATCAATGAGTAATTCTTTAGAGTTTTGCACATTACATGGGTATGTATATAAAAGTACTGACAGTCGGCGGTTGCAAAGGAAAAAAACAGTAAAATACACAAACAAACCAGCCTGTTCTAGAGGAGCGTGTTCATGAGGTGGAAAGGAAGAACTGCAGCAGAATGACCGAGACAGTGACTTCTGCTCTACTATCAGCGATGGTAGTATAATAAACACTCGAGTGTAGAGAGAGTCGGGCAGAGGACAGAGTCCTAATCCTACTCTCAGTCACGTCTGTCATCTGACTGACTGACTGGTGATTGCTGATCTGTTCCTGCGTCTGGTCATTTCAATAATGTTGATGACTGTGTGTGTTTTTGTGCATGTGTACTTTGCAAAATTGACATTTAAACAGTCGCAAATACCTCCCTACTACCCATTACCATCTGTAACTCGGTTAAACCACAAACCTCTACCCCCACCCACCCGCCCACTCATACACACACATGCACCATTAATGGAACATTAGTGTCCATCCATAAACAGGATATGTGTATTCAAGTGTGTCTTTCAGCAGAGACTAAAAATAGAAGTGACAGAATGAATTTGGCTTACGGGTTACATTCCCAGGAGACACCAAACCGTAGGTGTTTGTGTGCTATGTTCAAGCCACTGACTCCTTCACAGCATTACATAACATTAACCTTGTGAGGAGTTTCCCTGGAGAGCGAAATTCAATTGGGAGAGGGGGAAGGACAACGGATGAAAAGGACAGATGCATGCAAATCTTCGGCAGATTCCCATTTCATATTTTTTAAAGCATGTCACCAAAGCCCGTTGTCTTTTGAGTAATTGTAATTTGTTAACAGAATTAACTTTTTTGTGTTGGAGCTACCGAAATAGACAAATAAAGAAGTTGGACAAGAAGAAGGAAAATAAAATGTTCCAATCAGGTGATTCAGAGAGACGCATTGAGTACGCTTTAAGGGGAGTTTACAAAAGTTTTGTGGAAGCCTGTAATATTAAATGACCAAATAAATAAATATTAACATGAATTTTTACCTGGTAAAGTTTATTCGGGGGTTCTGGAGAGGAGGGTCTGGCAGATTGATGAACCTCGGATTCAGGAGGAGCAATGTGGTTTTCGTTTGGGTTTTGGAACACTGGACCAGCTCTATACCCTTAGGGGGCTCCTTAGGGGTTTATGGGAGTTTGCCCAACCAATTTACATGTGTTTTCTGGATTTGGAAAAGGCGTTCAACCGCGTCCCTCGGGAGGCCATTTGGGGGGTGCTTTGGGGGCGTACTTAGGATGCATGGGGTACCAGGCCCTCTGATAATGGCTGTTAGGTCCCTGTATGACCGGTGTCAGAGCTTGGTCCGCATTGCCGGCAGTAAGTCGGGCTTGTTTCAGGTGAGAGCTGGACTCTGC